CGTGAAAAGGGGTACAATGAATTACGAGCGCCGTCAAAGCGATGTGTGCCGGTGCGGGTGCGCCCTCGCGGCTTAGCCCGACTCGCACCGATTAAGCGACGCTAATACGAACCGAAACCGAATCCAAGCGGACCGGCGCATAGATCCCGACGATTTGTTGACTGCTAATTGAGTATACGTCTGATTTACAGCGAGGATCGAGTCGTCTTTGCAATAGTAAATGACTGTATCAACTGATCCAATCAATTCCTCACTAATTTTCAGGCATATGACAAACGAATCAACTAAACTCCTAAATAAGATCACTGTATAAAAGGTTTCCACGATTTTAATAATACTCAAAAGTAAATCATAAAAGAAAGTCTATCCAGAATATCCGCTAGAGAACAAATTTTTTGAAAAATGATAGTGAATAGTGACCATGTGCCGTTAATTTTAGACTTTGTTTTTCACAAACTTTGGATGTAAAATTATTAGTGAACTTTCAATTAGTAAGTACCATTGGCCAGTTAGGATAATTTCCAATTATTTATTAAGCACGTTAAATGTTTTTTTTGGGAAAACATCGTTTTTGTTTATTTTATTAACCTTATAGCCCATCTCGATTTCAGGGGCAACTCAACTCTGTTGACAAGACATTCAATCGAACTCACTGAACTCACTTAATTTATACGTTTGGGACCTAAAGATATACATGCCTATGATACAGAATTGAATTTATCATTAAAATCAGTATGCAGCAGTTCACTTTTAGACGTAGGTATATGTATTCTGTTTTAATACATGAGTAAAGTTCCCTACTCTATGGTTTCAATGTACTATGCGATTCAGTTGCTGCCAGCTAAATTGCGCAAATCGTCTTTCCATCAAGCCAGTAAAGACGTCCCAAGTTACGTTTGCTTAAACGCGGTCTTCACACTGGGATAGGTCTCGGGTTGTCAATATTGCGCCATTTAAGTAGCCACAAAGTAATTAATAAAAAAAATCATGCAAAGTTATATATAACTCAGTGTAGATCTGAATGATAAATAATTATACTCATATTATAAAACAACAAAAACTTATGCACAATGTTGTCATTGTCGTTCTTAAAGCACTCGCAACAAACAAAATATCATTATAATAACATGGATCAGTAGACATCAGACACAAACAAAGCAAACAGCACCAACAAATTACATTAAATCAAAGATAATCCTGTCAATTAATTGGACTTAACATTGGAAACCGGTCGCTGGCGCATGCGCGAATGGAGCGAGTCAAGATTATGTGAGAGTAAAGAAACCTCACAGAGACTTTAACATAAATGGACTTGGATTGCCGAATTAAAACTGAAATAGATAGAATTCTTAATAATTTTAGAAATAAGTATTAACAGAAACCTTTTTATTCAACATAGATTATAAATAATACTTATTGAAAGTCACTTTTTTAATTTATCACTTATTCGGAAAAATCTTTGTCCTGAGACAGCGGGACTTTTATAAAAAAAATAACAATTTATAAGTATGTATGTTAAAATTAATAACATAACAAATTAAAAATAGCTTGGTAGCGATCACCCTTCCCAGGGGTTATTATCATCCAAAAATTCCTAAATATTATAATAACCCTTTTTATACAAACTTAGTTTAATAAAGTTTTTGAACTTTTTGCAGGACATATTTTGTATATTTTCTGTTGTAAAATCGTATATATCGCTCCAAGAATGAATTACTGACTCGGTGAAGTCGAGTAACTGGTACTACTTGCTTGTGTATTTTATATTATGCTTGTGTATATTAAGTATATGTAACTAAAATAAATATATTTGTAAAGTATGTTTCTATGACTGCGTAAATGAAACAATAAATGATAAGAACAGACGTACGATCCAGGTGGCGGGACTCCTTCTGGGTAGGTACCCTTAGTATCCCGGTACCCTTTTAACTATTTCTGGCGCGAAATATAAATGCGTGAGCTGAGACAGAGGTTTGCAGACATTTCGTCTTATTCCTCAAAGGTGACAACAAATCTGTAGACTTCTTCATTTAAAGTTGTTTTCAGGTATTCATAGGCTTTCGTTCAGTAGCCATTCACTGATGTGTGTCGCTACCTCGACGCCGTCACCCCTTTCTCGTTGACGTACCCGTGACGGCAGCGGTGAACCATCGCCCTTAGTTTGTTTGTCACTTCAATTTTATAAATAGAAACGTAATGAAAACGTAACTTTAGAAGCTTAAGGTTAAGGTTTAATACGGCTTACAGCTTTTAAGAACCGTGGTATCTCAGAGACTAAGCACTGGCCTTAAAACGTGAGCAATCCGGGTTCAATCAATGAAATTGTTACTATAAATTGTTAATTGTAATTAATTTAATTAATGATTGTTAAGTGTTCATCGGTGAAAGAAAACATCGTGAAAACCTGCACCTTGAGAATTACAATATACTTCGAAGACATATCCGTTAATTCTTATTGAGGCAGCACTGCGGACTTTTTCTTAGACTTAATCCCTCTCAGAAATCAAAGGAGGCGTCTGCCCAAGAGTTCCTAGACCCCAAGACTGTATATGGGCTGTAATTTTTAACTTTAACAGCTTTTAATTTCAATTTGTATGCATTCTTAAATCATCTGACTACTTCTAGTGTGACGTTACTTTTCGATTAAAAAACTTAAAAAAAGACGAAATTTCATAACATGCGTTAAGCAGGATACAGAATAATTGTACGGTTTTATTTCAAAAAATTACTAGGGCTTTTTCTTTTAAAAGTGCCTAATCCCGCGTCCGTGGCAGGGCGATTGCCGGCTGACAGTGACACATCGGTACAAGGCCCGTTGTCCGACTGTAATTCTACCCGATACCCGGGTCTCGCACAGGGTACGGATATCGTTTATACACGACGAAAAACCAATTAATAGACGTTACTTTCATATTCAAAAAAGGGTGTGCTTTAAATTCTACTTTCACTCAACAGAAAAAGTTAAGAGAACGACATGAAGTAAAGAGAGTCACGGAAATGACGATGGCGATGTTATTGTGACAGTTTTTTTTATAAAATAACAAGACGAACGAGCCCACAGTCCAGTTGTGGATGCTGTGACCCATAGACATCTACATTTATCATCGACTGAGAATCAAAATGTAGATGCGTTGTCACATTTGAGGATTATGATGACATGTCTTGTTTCCAGTAAAAAGGATCTCCGGTTCTCTACACTCACCATACGAAACACAGGAGCCGTAAGTTGTATTTTACGCTAGTGTTCTGTGAGAGCGTGGTCCAACCCCGGTCGAGCGACTCATTCCCGCTACAACTAATATAGCTGCAGCGTGTGTGCATTTATAGCATAACCAATATACGCGTGGCTCATCCACGCGTATATTGGTTATGCTATAAATAAAGCTTGGGAAGTCTCGATTTTCTCAAAATCCTGGAAAACGTATAGACCGGGACTTAGCGGTACTTAGCGGTTTTGCGTTATTTATCAATAAAATCCTCTTGTCAATGAATGTTATATCAAATTCTAATATTAATAAAATTCATCAAAGCTTCAATTACACAAACTGGGATATAAAATTATTTGACTGAAAAGTTACAAAAAAAGTTACGTAATGTTAGCTTTGTAACATTTTAGTTACAAAAATAACATTACTGAAGTAACAAACGAATCTGCAGTCCACTTTGAAGATAAAGGGCAACGGCAGTCTACAGACACCCTCTTGCAGTTACATGTAAATATTACAGGTTACAACAGATTATAGATCTTCAAAAAGCAACACATCAGTTATATACCGAATATAAAAATGTATAAAGAAAAACAACTTTTACTGGAGCAACACAGAGCGTGGTGATCTTTTATTGGTCTTTGACAATGACTCTTTGTCTTGCAATAGGAAGTTTGTAGGGTTTTAAATTATTACACACATAACATAACGTGTAAACTTGCTACTGTATTTCAGTTTTAACAATTTTAATGTTTAACGTGCCCATTTGGAGTGCTTGAAGTTAAGTCAAAATCGAGTATCGTTCAAACCGAGTCGATCAATCACCATCCATTAAACAAGAAAAGAAAAGCGGTTTCCCCCAACCGCTGGGCCTGAATCGGGCCAATTTACATGAGAGCCGCTTTTTCCTCGCATCGAGATTAGCCCCCGAATGAGTTTGATGAATTGTTCGCACCCCGCAAGCCCGGACACCGCGAGCGGTCATTTGTTAAAAATACACCCGATCCACGGATCTAATTGTCTCCTCTAATTTCACACTCCCCCGTGATATCTGCCGTTGTTTAAATTAAGTACCATTTTTATTTTGAATTTGCTCGCTTAAATTGTCCTAACTTAAAATTCAACAAACTGACATTAGGACAGTTTTTATTGTATAATCAATACATATATTAAATCGACAGCGAATGATGTATCTGGACAGAGAATGTATTTGGCGTATATAATTAGTAATCTTCGCTATTTACTATATACTTTTCCTTAATAAATGTTTAATTACTTAAATTACAAAACATTTTCTCTGACTTTGTTTGTTTAATGTAACGGAACATTATTCTTGAGACTAGTTTAATCATCGTTTTGACAATGCTGAGTAAAAAATCCGCTAGGTTTTGAATTTTACATGCTCACGTTTATTTTACTTTACTAAACGAAAGTGAAATACAAAAATAAAATTAAATAATCAATAATCAATTAAATAATAATAAAAAAATAAAATTTAATAATTATAGCTCATTTAAACGTCAACTAGTTGTGAAAATTCATCCTTTATCGTTTAGTGACTATGATTGATGTTTCTCTGTTTATTTTTTCTTATACCATATTCTATATTCTTATGCTGAAGACTCTGGTTTAGAGGTTATCTTGAGTTAAAACTCATGCTCCACAATATGAAAATTTATATAGTATAGAACTGGACTTAAATTTTAACATTGTGGAATATGAGGTTAAACCGGAGATTGTCTCTGAACATCGCCTTATTAGGTATACTTATTACATGTAAGGCAAGCTCCTTACCTTTCTAGATGTTTTACGATGTCTTCGTAAGCTGCTCTACAATTCTCCCAAATACCAGATCTGTTGACAAAGGAAATCAAAATAAGAAAAACGAGGAAGATATAAAATAAATTCAAGTAAAATTAGAAAAGATGAATCAAAATAACAAAGCGAGGGTCAGAATTTTTATATTACTTATTAATAATACTCCAAAGACAAAACTTGCAGCAAAGTGTTCCCGGGTATTGCAAAATAAAAGTTCCTGAATGAAAGGGTTTAAATGTTAAAGGAATAATTATGAGCACTCAATATTAAATGTTCCGTTAGGTTGGAAGAGGGGCCGAAGAAATTAATTATGTTTTTAAAACAATCGCTTATATTTGTGCCGTAACAACTCATGCGTGATCGTTGAAATTGTTTCTCCATTATTTTGGCTCTTTGTTTCCCATCAAACTTTTATCGAACTTTGGGAGGGACAATAAACGGTACATTATATTTTTAAAGTAAAATTGGAACTGAAGTTGCATCCTTTATGTTGGACACATGCCTCCTCTCATTTCTGAATGTACAGTATCAATTACTTCGCCACACTGCTCCAGTGCATGGAAGAAAGTATTATTGTTAATATTAAGACTTATATGTTAAATGTTATATAATTGATTCACAAACTGTAGGGATCTTCTGACAATAAAAAATAAAAATAAAACCTATTGCAACAGTTATTATATTATTGGCAAACCAGACCGATACCTGTGTACACTGCTACCAGACAATCAAAGATCTGACGACTTGCTATAGTCCGAATATCAACCTATATATAGCGAACTCGAAATCATGATTACCAGTGCGAGTGTAATTATCAGTTCGGTGTTTACCATGATGCCTGCCCTGCGTGGTCACATATTGAAGAAATGCATACCATTTAACACGTTCTTTGTAACCTAACGTTCAGAAATGGATTAAAAAGCTGATAAAGAAAGCAAAAGGAAAACAAATAATTATTATTTAGCGATGACAAATATTTTTTGTTCATAAGAAAATAAACATATATTTGCCAAGAGAACACAACGACATAATGAGATAGTAAAGCTTCGGTGACGTCACCCTTCACCCAGTGTGTTAGCAAACATGTGTAAAACGTACAGGCGATATTGAATCACATAGGGGGCAGTAAGACAGTGGGGTAAGTCAAGTGAGCATTGTGGGTCTTCGGACGGAAGTGAGGGCATTCAGTGTTTATACTTTTCTTATTGGATTAGCGTACTTAGACGTTTAACCTGATGGCATCGTTATTGACCCGCTGGAGGGTTTCTTTTTGTAAACTTAGTGGTAAGTAAGCCGATTTGTGGCTAGATTGCCGGCATTTTCGGCATTAATTGTTTCAACCTTGAATCGTTTCAGCTAATAGGTGTTTAATTTGAACGGTTTATTTTCTTACGGTGTGATTTGTTAATTATTTGCGAAAACAATATAAACGCTTACGTTTTTATATTATAAAATTATAATTTGGCAGAAAACTGGCCACTAGGCACATAAAGTGGTGAGTCGGAATGCTTTGATGTGGGCGTTGTATAGCATCTTGCCGGCATTTGGTAACTATTAACTACTGGACCAAAATTATCTTGCTGAGGAACTGTACACCAAGGATCGTATTAAGAGTGTTTTACAGCGTTAATTTTTTTAATCTAAAGTAGAGGTTATTGAAATAACAAGATAGATTATCATTTCATTCTAAGTGGATTAATATAACGATACGATGATTGTAGCTATTTTTTTTAAATACGAGGTATTAAAAATAGACTAAAACTTAATTTGACTATTCTAGTATAAGAATTCAAGTCATTCAAGAGTTGTGAAGCATTTTATCGTTTAATATAAGGAATATATAATGGAGGAAAAAATACGGGCTGCCATTTAAAATTTTATATAAGATTTTAAATTCTAAATCATGTATAAACAACACTCATTCAAATATAAAACTTAAACAACTTCCACAAGTTTTTAGGTTTCATCGTGCATCGATTTCTTGTAAGTCGCCCTTAAGAGAAAACATTTACCCTATCTCATTCCATGGGTCTCACTAGCGGCCACTTAGAATAAGGTTCAGAAGTTTTTATGGCTTCCGATAGATGGCGGTATTATCATATTATATTTAATATCAAATAAAAATGCACAGACCGGCGCGGCGGCGGGATACCAGCGTAAAAGATATCAGACGTCTGGCACCGCGGTCGTCTTTCCGTCTACCAAGTGTCAATCACGGCAGATTCTCTTTACTTTGATGGTGATGAATGAGGGATGAGGGAGGGACAGATATCGCTCGAAAGAGCTATTATCAACATTAGTTACACAGTGTCTATTGCCTAGTGTCGTATTAGAAAAATAAAAAATTCTGAGTTTCATCTCAACAATCATGACGTGTCATAAACATGTCAATCTTAACATCTCATCAGTTATAGTATTAAATATAATATACTTTTTTTTTTGCGGATGGAAAATCATCTAATGACGCCTTTCGCTCTGGGTTTCGCTAAGGGAGTGTCAGACTTTTACTGACTAAAAACCATCCGTGTTCTTTCAGTGCCCTTACGTTCCGGAGCCGCGGTATCTCTTTCGAACAGCACGCAGCCCCGGCAGGAAATATAATATACCTAATAACGTTATTTCAGACTATTTTCCTAAAAAAGGAGAACATGGTTAAAATATGTCATCTCGTTCCATTTCTTATTGAAAAAAAGACGAAAAATTTTTATACCAGCTAACATTGAATGTAAATAAATTTTAGTAATATCTTTTTAATACATGTACATAAAATATTCCGAGTTTCCGTTACTTTATTTATCAATCATTAAAAACTGAAATAGATCACAATGTATACTCACCGTGCCACGGGCCGGACCAAATAATACCTAAACAAACTATGAGTATAGTCGCGCCATGTTTGGAACACCACAATTTTCATGACTTTACCAATATCCGTTACAGGATAGTTTTATTGCTTTTAAAATTTTTATTGTAGACAAGGCACGACAAGTCAATTAACTTTTATTAGATCCGTTGGGCACAGGACAAACCTTCTGACTAAAGCTATAATCAATAAGGTTTCAACTAACAACGGTATGCAGAATCTTGTTTTCAAATAAAATAAATGTTAACATCTACTCACATTTTAATTAATTAATTAAGGCAACATGTCGAAATATTGATTGCCTCGAGTTAGCGATAATAATGTTGGAACAGTATACACATATAATATATACATACATCCAAATCTTTTACAATGTTTAAAATCTGTGTGCCAGCTAGAATACTGAAACTAATATAGAACTAGAAAAAATAAAACTCAGTCTTATATTTACTGCAATAAGAGAAATAAAATGGAGCAATAAATATCTGAATAATTTAAATTGTTCTAATTGATATAAGTATTTAATTGATTTATTATAATATCATTTAATCGACGTAGTATAAGGATACCATCAGAATTATCCTAAATTGATATTAATATTATTTAACTGTCATTTATTCGTATTGGACATAATAGGGTTGACTCTCAATAAGACTTATATGAACGTCAGATTTGATTTCTATTTGAATAATTTAATGGGTAAACTTAGTCTAGTTATCTTATTACAAATATTAATTTATTATGAGTCTCATGCTTAAACTAGAATATGTTTCAAATAAGAAGCCTTTTTGTAAATATGCGAATCAAAGTATAAAATATAGAATTTGATAGCAAGAGTAAAATAATCGCGAAGACTGGCGCCGCGTCTAAGGGATTTCTTTCTTGAGAAAGATTGGTACCATTTTTGGTAATAAGACAATAAATATGCGACATTTTTTTTTTTTTTGGTTACGTTAGTAACTACAGAAAATAATGGACGTTATTCATTATTTAACAGCACAGCGTGTCTAACAGCTTAAGCCATATTTTTAACCAATATGGTTCTTCAAAAAAAAGTTTGACATTAGATTTTGTCTTGTATCAATGAAGCGTTTTACATGGACATTCCATTAATTTAGTTTAAATACAAATTTCATTGCATAAGCACCAAACATCCAAACCCGACGCAATTATATGTAGGCCATAGAAACACAAGGTTATTACTACACCCGTCTACGGGACTGCGATCGTCTACTCGCGTACCAGTGTGACGACTTAGGCAAATCGTGCCCAGTAGTGGACTCTTACGGTATTTCACGTCTAGCACAAACTAGACGGTATATACCGCCATTCATCGGACACCATGAAATCTTTCTAGCATATACTACAGTCTTCTCTGAGAGAAGACTACAGTCTACACATGTGATGAAATGGGCTACTTACGCCGCCACAGTAATCAACATGTTTTGATGAATAAAATAAAAAATAAAATAATTACCTTGCAAGAGCTTCCATATTGTGCATCGGTTGGCCTTTTATGATGGAGCCGTCAGGTCTGGGTACACCTGGATGCGGCATGCCCGGAGACATGAGTGCGTGTTGATGCATAAAACCCATGGGCCCCAAGTGAGTCGGTGGTGCGTTGTACCCGTTGGCGAGGAGCGGTGACTTCTCCATGCGGCCCATTTCTACGAGAAACAATATAATGGTTAACTTCCTAAATTGTTAAAAATAACAGTTATTATTAATTTTTAACATTTAAATGTTGAAAGGACATTGCTCAGCGCTCATACATCGTTCGCCCTGGAACCAAAAGCATCGGAAAATTGTGTGTTGTATGGTCGATCATTAGGGGATTCCTATATGATCTTATTTTTATAGCGGACTAGCTGCAGAAAAGATATATTTCAAAAAAAAAGTATCAGGTTTTGAGGTTATAATAGAACTACCACTATTATGGTTTTTAATCATTTGGTGTGATTTTTAAGAAACTGAAAAACAATATCATGTTACACTAAACAATTTTAGTAACGTTTTTCAACAACATAAAACCACTAGCAGAGCCGCAATTTACACAAAATACACTTTTCATTGCATATGCGTAACAAAGAGAATATAAACTTCCTTAGTAAAAGTAAATGTATGAAAGGGCGCCAAACTACTCTACGAATACCAACATCAAGAAATGAAATTAATTTTTAGAACAACAGTGCTGACAACATAGGTGAATTATACTAGTTCTGTAAATGTTTATCCTCGAATAATTTTATCGATATAATGTTTATCGATTTATTGTTTATCGTAATTTTTATATTAAAAATATTAATTATCATAAATTTGCCAAGGACATTTTTTAGATAAATTGATGTTAACATTGTATTGTCACATTTGTTTTATCTATGTAAAAAAACAACGTTTTAAAAGTTTTACCTATCATAGAATAGTGACAAAAATTAACTCTACTCTACTAACTCCCCCCTCTCTCTCTCTCTCTCTCTCTCTCTCTCTCTCTGTATCTCTTATTCACGTGTTGGCAAATTAATCTGATATAACGTACTCATAACTTCATAACGTTAAACGTTGACTAAAAGTAGGAGAATTGGCAAAACATCAGTCCAAGGGTGACTCTAAACTCATCACAACATTAAAGATCTTATAGCAGTTTTGGCGGCAACTTGACTGCCGTTTAAATTTGAAGCAAGTGATGCGATTTTGTCTTGTATTACTCGTATGTTCCGCATGTTAACTATAAGTGGTTACGACGCAACGAGTGCTGAGACCTTGAAATAAACCTCAATTTATTTTGTCTGCTAAGGCGCCTGAAACACTTGAGATACTGTCGTCATCGACTGTATACTGCATGCTGCAAACTGTCGTAGGAATCTCTCAAAAAAACTCCACAAGCGATGCATCAACATATTATGGGGATGTTTTTGAACGAAATACTATAGAGGATAATTTACCACTACTTGACGCTAATGAAAATATAACCGCACGAGTCTATAACGAAAAATTGCTCATTTTTGAATGTATTTATAACAACATTCTCTGTAATATTACTGAGAGGTTTTTCATATATTTAAAGCATATATAAAAATACGCGGTAAAGCGCAGCTTTGCATTGCATTTCGCAGCACGAATGGGTCAGCTCGACTGGGAAAATACAACGCTCTCGCAGAATACCAGCTTAATGCTGTTGTGTTTCGTATGGTGAGTGTAGAGAACCGGAGACCCGTTTTATTGGAATCCAGGCATTCCAGGGTGATTAATCCTCAAAGGTTAAATGTAGATGTCTCCGGGCCACAGCATCCATTTACCATCAAGTGGACTGTGTGCTCGTTTGTCACCCTATTCTGTAAAAAAACGGATGCGCTGTCACACCTGAGCACTAAGACAGTGCGGCGGCGCTGTCGTCGCGCCGCAAGAAAAACACACCGAAGCTTAAATCACGCTATCAACATTCCGAATCATAAACAGCATATATAGAACATCTCCGAACTATCACACGGAGTGTTGGCCGCTCCCCGGGCAGAACACCTTGCCCGGCGGCAGATCTCCCGCACGACAGCGCCGCCACAACAGAATCCCTGGCTTGCAGTCAAATGGGTCTCCGGTTCCTTGTACTCACAATACGATGCACAGCTGCAGTAGGCTGCTGGTATGCCGTGAGAGCGTGGTTTTGTTTCTTGATCGTGACGGATGTATTTGTCTATAATTCACATCTTACTCACTTACCATCAGGTGGACTGTCTGGTGTCTGCTTATTTCTCAAATTAATTCTATAAAAAAACTAAAGATGTAAACGGCGGACTTAGTGTTTTAATACTAAAACCCCCCTTATAAATCCCTCACTTTATAAGGCTTAGAAATACTGTAGTTTTATGCTGAACCTAGTCCGTCGTGTATTTAAAATATGCTAAAAACAGAACCTTTATATCCGATATTTCAATAAACAAATATTTTATAAAAACCTTATCGTAATTCTAACTACATAAAAATAAGATTAAAGATGACAGAATTTGTAATTAATTTAGCTAACTACTTAACTTAGTGATATTTAGATAACTATATAATATTATAATTAACTTTCGCAAAGTAACGCCTTATTTTTTATTACGTAAGCCTCACACTAAGACTTTTTCCTGAGGATCTTGAAAGCGTTTTACAAACATAAATTATACCTATAAGATTGATTGTGGGCGCCTTACAAATACTAGTTCTGAATTAAAACGTTTAACTACTGCGCTACGGAGCTGTCTATTATATTATAATTAAAAAGCACAACAGAAAAACAAAAAACAAAAACTCTTTCCGTTAAAACGATTGAACTCATGCAAATTTTACAACACGTCCTCGAGTCGGGCACAAATTAGGCGATCGATCCGAAAGCGAAATTGTTGATAAATTCCCAAAATTTGGCGTAACAAATGGCGCACCACTTTAACGAAATATCGTATCTGCTCAGGTAAAATCCAATTAATGGCCGGTATTATCATTTAATTACCTGTTCCAATAATCGAATCGACCGTAAACGGTGAATCAACAATAATAAAATGAGCAATGAATTTGAGACTATTGTTTTCTGGGCACCACAAACAACCCATGTAAACATAGGGGGTGTTGGACAAATATTCTTAAAATGACCCCCTTTCAAGGGAGTTTTGGAGGTTTTCGGGTGGTCTTCGGACGTCCACGAGCCCCCACTCTCGAGGTCAGCAAACGGACTGGGGTGTCGGAAACAATTAACAAGGTGTCGAATTATACACGAATTAACGTTCAGACCGTTAAAGGAAAATACCCTTTTCCATTGCGGCAACGGTCTACAAAGGATTTGAGGATTGCTAAGTATTCAACGTGTGTTTGGCTTTGTTATGTGATTAAGAACACAGGTTAACGCGACAAACAACACAGACGTAATATAAACCGTATAATTCAAATAGCAAACGATAAAAACAACAATCTAATATTTGTTTCGTATGTCTGTATTTAAGTGCACTATTTACATATCTTGGTCACAGCACCGGTACAAAATTCAGAATACATTAGTGCCAACACACTTGATTAAGTTAGGTTGAGAGGAAACTAGCTTTCCTTGCAAAGTTGTTACCACGGGCATAGAAACACTATTTTACGTTGAGACAGCTTCTTGCTTCACATTAAGGGTATTGTTGTCTTATATGAGCTGGAAATGGACGCGAGCACTTTTGGATTTTCCAAACATTTTAATTTATGAATGCCAGCATAATGACACTTCTACACATATACAAAACAAAAAATTGAAATGATGTTGAAATAGCTTAATGTCATTAGAATTAGAAAACGAACACTTCAAATACAATAAGCGAAAATATAATTACTTATAACTAAAAAACTTTATCAAAATATAACAAAGTAAGAGAAGAAATTAGAAAAATGCCGCTTTATTTATAACTAGGTACATATTTAAGAATTTAACAAAATAAAAAAGTTCAATATAATGAACTTAAAAATATTTAACATAATAATATGGAAACCTTTTTTAATCTGTAACTTAATAAGTATTTATTTTCAATAATGTAGAATTTACGGCGAGTGGTAACAAGGTCATGAAAATCGACGGTTAGACATCGAAATCTTTAGTTAATTCAATTCTTGGCCTGCACTCTTAATATAATAGTCATTCTGCGTGTTTTATTTTAGTTGTATTTTTCATTTCGGAATTCGTCAGAATCTTTTTTTTTTTTTGTGTATTCACCGATTATTCGAAGACGCCAGAACTGATTTGGAAAATTCTTCTTTTGTTTCAAACGGTATACTTTCTAGGTGGTTCCATTTAAGTTTTATCAAAATCAGTCGAGCGGTTTTAAAAAATCAACAAAAAATTATTTACATTGAATTCGATTGTACATTATTTTTAATTTTACCACTTGTTTTACGTTTAATGTTCATATTTTTAATTTACGCTGTTAAGTCACACCAAGCATTTCGGTGACTAAATGATATTAAGACATATCTTTTAATTAACCCTAACGTTCACCATTTTACTGAAAAATATATAATTAATGAACTTTATTTATCACAACATATCTTACTGAAAACACTGATGGCGAGTAAATAATATTTTATGTTGTAAACTACACACAGCAATATTCCTCATACTTCATAACAAAACAGTACTCAGACATTAACTAAGTAACAAACAAACAAACATCATGACCAATGGACCCTGAATTAATTGACCGGGTTTATTTACTTAGTTAACCGCTTCGGTTATCTTCTGAGCCATACACCGGTTAAAATTTACATTCGTGGTGAGTGTATATTGTGTTTTATGTACACACTTGTGCGACTATTTTCATTTAAGTCAAGCGAAATTTGTAATTTTATAGTAATAACAATGAATTTATAAGAATATGAATTGAATTTCCAACAGATATAATTGTAACTTTTAGTTTTCAAGGTTTGTAGAAACATTATATAATATTTACATTAATGGTCATGTCTCTGGCGGTATATTTCCAATAGTATCTGATTAATAACACTGGATAGTGGTCAAACAAAATAAGTAATAATAATATTACGCGGTCACAGACTAACACGAATTATTTAAGTAGGTACTTGATTAAAAAAAATGGTTCTACTCGAAACATTAATCTTAGGGATTAGATAGTAAGTATATAGGTACAGTCCGTACTGATAAAGAATATGA